TATTATCCTAAACATAATTTTAAAACCTAAATTTGGTTAAAGTTACCCTTATTTAAACTTTGATTAAATAGATTTTATTGAACAGCACAGGTTGTTTGGCCAGAACATACATATATGTAATTGTTAGGTAAAATCTCCTTTCTCTGCAGGGAGATTTTAAATTGCACTAGGTTTTCAGATCTGTTTGCACCAGCAGCAGGTTAAAAGCCAGCACTCTTTTGATACCTGGGATGGCAGAGAAGGAACATTCAGCTCCCAGGCTGTGCTTGGTGACTGCACAGGGAACAAGTGAAGGCAGAGAACAGTGTCCCTTGAACTGCAAGTTCAGACATAAAGTGACCCAGATGCAGCTGCAGAAAGGCAGATCTTCTAACGGAAAGCAAGTCACAGGGAGGCAATGTGCTACTGCAGGTTACTTGCTGCTGCTGGACCCAAGCGTAAGAGTAGGGTGATACTAGGGAAAAAGGAAACTCTTCAAAGAACTGAGCTCCTTCATATCTTCCCTAGTCACTGAATCCGTCTCTCCTATGCTCGCTCACTCAGGTTAGGTACCCAAACAGTTACAGGCATGCTTCTCCCACTGTGGCTGGCCTAAAGACTGTCCCCTATTGCACTGTGATACGTTAAGAGCAGTCTCTGACTCTTTTAACTGCTATGCTCAACCATCCACCATAGCTATTCATTACACTCCACACCCAGATAAAACATCCAGCTGTTCCCAAAAACAACAGCTCATCAACAAAAGCCAGCATGAGCGCTGCAGGCAAATGCTTTGCTTTTATGTTAGCTCCCTCTAGACTAAAGCAACCCAAGGCCCCTTTCTGACCATCAGGGCTCGCTGAAGGTTTGGCCACAGCTGAAAGGGAGGTGATTTTCTTCCCTGTGCTCTGAATTTTCACACCATTTAAATTGCTCTCGAATCCCACAGCTCATAAGTGACAGGCTTCCTGCATGGATGCAGACCGTTCAGAAGAGATGGCCCAAGACAGGGTGTCTGTTGCATTGCTGCTCCCAGGATTATCAGACGGATGTGGCCAAGCTCTTGGATTGAACCAACTTTACTATTACCATATTAATGCTGGTTTGCATGTTTATTACCTGGCCCTTTTCAAACTTCACTGAGCTGAATCTTGATAAACAGATACATTCTGAATGGATTTTTGTTATTGTTGCTTTTGTGTTTTTCTTTTTCCCCTGGCCATTAAGACTCATTATGTGGAGTCATCAGCTGGTTTGCTTTGTTTCCCATCTGTTCATACAGTACTTGGGTTCTGGGATATTTCCCAGGGTGTGTGATAATACTACAGATGGGAGTGCAATTTCCACTGTTTAGATTTTGCCCCAGTGGGGCTTCATGTGGCCACTGGTGGGAAAATGACAGTTGCAATGGTTTTGATTACAGATTTTCCATATTATAGAAAGTTGTCAAATCTCAAGATTTTGAGGATCATGTTGCTAACTGGAGTCAGTGCCAGTTTTTTTCTAAGAGGATTTTCAATCTGTTCCCCATCTACAATGCCTCCATTTATTGAAGTAAACAAGGACTCTTTTTTGAGAACAAATCTTGCACAATTTCAAGTCACAGATAATGTTCTGAGAAGATAATGTTCTGGTTCCATTGCTGTTAAGGGAAGCAGAAATTGGAGTCTAATGAGAATTTGAGGAGCAAAGTCTCCTGTGGTCTCCTGTGATCAGTGGTGGCCATCACATATCAGACCTTTCACTCGCGTATCAGTTAGGTTGTCAAATAACTGTTCTCTCTCCCCAGTTTTTATTCCTTCCTCTATTAGTAGAAAATGATTATATCCATTTCAGCCTTCTCTCTGTGAGACTGAACAAACTACTATGTTCTATAGTTCTAGCTGGAAAAATATGGTCTCCGCTCTTCTCACTCTCCTCACAACAGTCAGGTGAACCTGGTTCAGTTTATATGCATCTGCGCTGATGACAGGAGCCAAAGCACTGCAGTTAATACTGAAGCCAAAGTATGGGCATGTACTGGCTCCAGCTTGACTCCCTCCCACTGCTGCTGGGTATTACATGTTCTCCTGGTTTGCATTTGGAGACTTATTTTAACTTTCAGGTGATTACTTCAGTTTGGTCTCAGGCACACCTTTAAGATGCCCTCTTTCTTCCCTCTGCATTAATTTTCTAAAATAGATTAGGTGGCCACAAGAATATTTTGGTTACTTATTCTCAGAGTCCTTTTGCTGGCATTTTTCTTCTAGATCTATAATACTTATCTTGATTTCTCAACATCTCCACTACTAAAATGACTAGACACTGTATTTGTGCACACAGTGAGCTTGTCTCTGGGTGTAGGATGGCAGTACTGCATTTAACAGGGGCATTTCTCTGTGGTCACAGACTCTGAGGTATTCTAGCAACATTAAGCTCCAACATTAAGAAAGCTTTAATACAGCACTGGTCCAGAGGCAGTTCTAGCAAGGATGTGCTTGTATGGCTTTACAACAAGTGGCTGCAGAACCAGGAGGGGCAACCTGCAACCCTGCACCTTGTCACACAGCAGGATGGTGCCTCAAGTCGGGCAGGAGAACAACCACTGTCCCTCCAGCCTCTGAGGTAAATTCACCCTTCATAAGCACTACCCTCCTCTGCAGCTAATTACTGGGCAGGTAAACCTGCAGTGATATCTAGGAAGTCAGAGAGGGGAAGACCCACAATTGTTCAGCAAGGTTTTTCGTCCTTAAATTACAGAAACCCAAGAAGGCTCAGTCTTCACATATTTACTCCTTTCAGAGGAACATTAAGTGCTAAAGAAAAGGTCAGCCACCTTGTTTTCTTTTTTCTTTTTTTTTGTTAAACCCAACATTTCAGCACAGAAACACAAAATTACCACATCTACTCAAGCATGTCAAGATTTCTATGCTGTGAGTGGAGGAGGAGAGATTTTTAATGAAACTGCAAAATTGCTTGAATAAGGGAAAAAATGATATGGTGGTTGTGAGGGAATTATATTTGAGGTGAAGACTAATGCTAGGAGATCACCTATGCCTAGTGTAAAGCTTCCTGGAGTATCCAGGAATCTCAGCCATGGCCTGAGACTCTTGCTGTTGTGATGGATGAATCTAAAGAGGCACGGGCGAGGATATAGAAAGACAGGTAATGCTGTTAGAAATCTGACCTTTTAATGGGTCTTAGATATAAATCTAGTCTAATAAATCTAATAAAGCACACAATTATGCTTCTTAAGCGTAGGCTTTTACCTTGTTAGGCCAAACTGTAATTTCAGGGGAAGAAGAATCAAAGCAAATACTCATAGGAGAAAATCTGTTGAACCACTGAACTTTTCACCTCTAAGAGCTAGTAATGACCACAGGGTACAAGATCAGATGGTTCATTTAACTGCCGAGTAACGAAATTAGGCTAAAAGTTAGACCTAGTCTGCCCAGAGGCAACATGACAAATTAGATTCATCCACTTGCCTTATTTGTATTAATGCACTTTTGTACTAGTGAGCAGATTATAAAAGAAGGCATTTCCTCAAGGCGGGGTTTTCTGGCACTGAACTCATTTTCAAGCTGAGGTTCTCCCCTGAGGGCACAATAAGACCCTCCTTTCTTTGCAGATGAGGATCTGATCCTCAGCGAAGATTTACCTGTGAATACCTGTGTTAAGAACAGTTTGGAGCTTTAAAACCTGCATATTTCTTTCTATAAACCTACATAAATGGTACGCTTTTGATATATGTTTTAATAATAATGAAATATTTAGTTAGCATTTTCCTAAAATCATTCAGTGTGTTCCATTGCTAATATTTAAAGAAGAAAAAACAACAAACTCGTTTTAAAATGGACTCTCTAGGACTGGCTCTGTAAACTCATCCCGGCTCCCAGTCTTGGCTGGCAGTCAGTAGTGAGAACTGCTATGTAGATGGCTACTTCTCTTTGTGCCATGGCTGCAACCCTGCAAAGCATCATAGCACTTCAGTCTCATGGCCCTGTGTGTCCTGTGAGTGTTTCCAGCATGAGGCTTCACTCTGCAGCTCCAACAGCATGGCATCCCTCTGACCTGAGAGGGAGCTGTGAATCAAGAATGCATTTATTTTTCCTCTGAACATGAAAGACTTTTAAAATTAATTGCATGGCATTATGGCTTGTCTGTGTTGTCAGCTTTGATTTTGCTGTGACAAAATGATGGCCGCTCCCTGTCACAGAGAGTGGCGCTGTGTCTGTGAGCACTGCACTCGTCAAGGGGCAGCAGCGAGTGAAAGCATCGCTGCGCTCCGCATGGAAAGCAGTTTTGCAGAGTGGGGCACAGAGGGTGAGGTGAGTGCAGATGTTACACTCCCGCAGGGAAGGCAGCGGCCATCGCTCACTGCAGTTGGTGTTGGCTCTGCCGTACCACCCACAAGCCTGTGCCAGGTATCCAACCCTGCTCCCTCCATCCCTGCAAGCAATGCAAATTACTGGGGGTGATGATACTCCCAAGAAGTGTAATTTTAAGCATTCAGAGCTGAAGGCACAACCACTAGATCTAACCCCAGAGATCTTAGAAGAGCAGCTCTGATGCCTTAGCAGGGCTGGACTGCAAGCGGGAGCAGAAGTGGAGGGAGGACACTAACCCGTTTTCCCTTTAGAGGGCAGTGGTGTTCATGGCACAGAAGCCGCATGTCGGGGAGGTAACCCCCTTACCGTTAACGGGGGTCAGCAGCAGCAAGCGGGAGGGACCAGCACCGGAGTGGTGCTGCTGACCACACTACGCTGTACAGAAGAACACCTCACTCGGATATACTTTCTGTAGTGCTCTGTGCAGGGGCTCATTTTCATGCACAGTAATCAGAGGAATAATTATGGTTCCACAGAGAGGCTTACTTCCTCCCACCACACCACGAGTGCAGGCCAGGGTGAAGTGCTCCTTACCGCCAACATGTGCCAAATTACAGCCTCTTTCCGAGTCAGATGAGCCCTTCCTGCTAGACTTAGCCCAGACCCGTTCAGAAAGCCAATACAAGAGGTGGTTTCAAAGGCAGCACTGACCTTTTCATGGGTTTGGGCGAGGCCTCCCTCTCCAGGTTGGAGGACGCGTGCTTCACGTGCATGGCGTTGTAGGAGGTGTGGGTGTACTCATTTTCGTCGCTGTAGTCAGGACCGAGTAACGTTCGAGCCCATGTCCCCATGTCATAGGGAGGAAGAGTGCCCCCAAACTCAGACGGCAGGCATTCAGGGTGTATTAGCTGGTGAAGGCTGTTCAGGTTGTTACCATGAAGAAAGATCTTAGATAAAAGAAAATTCAAAGTCATCATCGATTCCTTGCTTCATTAAGTACAGTAACAACAGCACTAGTAACGTGTGGAGCATCATTAGTTGACACTGCATTTTCGGGTGGGAATACCTGAAGTGCTCGGGGGTGGTTTGGGTGGGAAGCAGGGAGGAGATTAACTTTGGGGTGTGCAGCTGAGGAATTAAGCTGGCACTATAAACACTTCTGAAAACCTGGATTTGCTTACTTTTGGCACATGACACTTTCACTTTCATAAGTACCGGATCAGGGAAAGTGGAAGTCAGAGATAATGACCATACTGCTACTCTAAGAAGATAGAGGCTTGTACCAAGAACAGTGAGAAGAAAAGGGAGATAGTGGAGCTTACTGAAAGAAGATGTGAAGAGTGGGCATTCAGTGTCTGACAGGGCAATCCAGCCCTGCTCCCCAGGACTGACGTTTCCCAGAGGTGTACCAGGCTGTGTTGACACTTTGCACTACTTCAGGAACATTTGTCTCTAATCCCTCTTTTATTTCAGGCTGGTACTACTCTTGTCCTGCCTTGTCACGCAGACCCCAGGGTGGGCTCTGGGGCCTCCTGAGGGATGACCCAGTGGTTGGTTGATAGACTGCAGAGCACAAATGGCTAAGATGACTGCATGGGTTTCAGTTCGGAAGATCTACATCCTCTGCAGCGTGAGCAAGCATCCTACAGGTGGTTTTTCACCATGTGCAAACACCCAACTTGCTGAAGGAATGAAATAGGAAATTTTACCCTCACAAAAAGAGCTGAGCTCAAGTTTGCCTCGCTGCAGGTGACCTCAGCCAGGCCTGATAATTCCTCCACATTGCCTATTCTCTCTATCCCTGAGCATGTCCCATTAAAATGTATCTACACTTTGTTAGTGATAACAGCTTTCTGGCTTCCTGGCTGAGTTACTGATTCAATCCAAACCATTGCAAACTCTAAATTTTAATGACAGCAGCAATTCTCTGAGGCCATATGAAAAATGCAGAGAGAAAAAGAAGGAAGAAAAGAAAACAGGCAGCTGCTAGGTTACTTTGGTGCTGCAGCTTCCTATCCCACTCCCCATCCCCATCCAATTACCCTTTTCCTTGTCTTGTCTTTGAGGAACGGCTTGATTAATGTGTACAGCGCATGGATGTACCAGGGCTGGTTGACAAAATGGACTCCTCCAAAACGGGCAGGAAAGCTGTCCTACAGAAAGAAAGAGAAGGAAGGCAGTTAACAGATGCAGTGCATTAGTCCAGCAGTCAGTAGGATGGGAGTCAGAGGGAGAAGCCTGCCTCTTTCCATCTGCAAACAAACACTGGGTTTACTGGGAGGGGAAATGGAAAAAGAAAGACGCCTGGAAATGTTTGTTGCGGTTTCCTCTGTTAGCAGATGCAGTCCTTTCTCCCCTTCACACACTAACACATCAATTGCTGACGATTTAAAGTAGACTTTCCAGCCACTTTGCCTGAACATCTTTTAACTCCATCAGAGCATCCGACTTGGCTGGGATGGGAAGTGAGAGGGGGTTGATGAGCCCCGCTCCCTTGAGGGGAAGCTTTCTAATTTCTCATTGTGCAGCATAAGGCAAGCCCCAGTTCCCACGCGCATTGCTGCACACAGCTCACCTTTTCACCCCTCGGCCTCCCTGCCTCCCCCTTGCTAAAATCATCATTACAATGGCTGACCTTTCGGGGTGAGCAAGCAGCATATTATGGGGAGGAGGATGGGTGGGAAATGCTGATAAGTGAAGGTGTGGGGAGAACACACCATGACAGCACCATGGAAACTGCCGGAGCCCAGCTCTTGCTGCCGGGCTGTGCACAAACACCCTTGGCATTAGCATGCAGGTAGCGTCCCGCCGGGGAGGTGCTAGCAATAGCGTCCTACTCTGCTCAGCCAGCCTGGCATGCTTTAATAAAAGAGGAGGTTGCTGGTGTGTCTTCAAAGGTTATTGTATATTGTGATGGGTATTTTGTACCTACACTCTCGTCTAACAAATGTCAGTCAGGGAAGAGCCCAGGATTTTTTCACATTGCATAAATGGGGGATGACTGCTGCTCCTGTGTGCAAATACACCTCCAGTGAGAGGAGAGGTGCCTGTCTCTCCCCCGTGAAGGGAGATTCTGATGAGGCTGTCCTCATCCTGCATGTGCTTCTAACCCCTATGGCTCAGCATGGAAAGACAGGGCATAATCAGGTCTCTTCCTTCAGGGCTTTGGCTTTGGGACTCAGGCAGGTTCATTCCCCCCACAATTAGCACAGAGTATCCTGAGGCTTTCTCTCACCTTCCTCTGGAGCATCGGAGATTGAACACAGCTGATGAGGATATGAAGTGGATTTGTGAGATGATATGGAAAATCCCCTTATACACTTGCTTGGTATAGATTCTGCTCTGATTCAAGGTCATTTTTTCCCCCAGATTTAGCACTATGTAGGTATCCCACCGCCTCCTACCACCCTGCGTAGTTTGGCAGGACTTACCGTGCTCTTTCTTTGGCACTGGTCATGGTTTGCCCTAGCAGTCACCTTAAACCACACTTGGGTAATGCTTGTGAGTGACCAAAGGCATTAAGTGATACCTTTCACTTTTGCTATACAGTAGTATAAGCCACTTACCCCTCAGACACATCAGGTGACCTGAAACCATTACAAATCTTAATATGGAATGCTCTATGCAAGACTAGCAGATGGTCAGGCCAGCACACAGGAGGCCAAGAAGTGGAACATAACAAATGATCCCAGTTTAAATCTCAATAAACAATGAACTGAGCTTTTTAAAGGTGGCATGTGCTCTGTTGAGGTGTTCACTCACAATAAAGATGACTGTATTTCCATTGCTGCTGCAATATTCATTAGAGTTTAGGGACACAACTCTGACTGACACAAAACTACTGCAGCACTGCAGGTTGCAGTGACTTCAGCTGGGCTGTGCTGAGAAACAGCTGAAGGGGTCTGAGACCGCCTAGAAAACAACATTGATCAACAGAAGTGTGAAGCCCAAAGTGATTTTCTACCCTGTGATAACCTAAAATTGAGGTTTAGAGCAGACTAGAGCCAAAAATGCCCTAGTCACGCAAAATTCACATATTCAGTTGTTTTCTTCTTACATGGGAATGAAAATTTGAAGATCTGAAAGAAAAAAAAAATTAAGAAATATTGGAATGTGCCATGTTCGCCTTTTTTTAATTTTTTAATTCTATATTTGTCAAGCTGGCTGCTATCCCACAAGCTCTATTGCTAAGAGAGAAGTTCTGGACTCCTTTTCATGGAATTATAGACTCATAGACTTATAGAATAGTTAGGGTTGGAAAGGACCTTAAGATCATCTAGTTCCAACCCCCTGCCATGAGCAGGGACACCTCACACTAAATCATGTCGCCCAAGGCTCTGTCCAACCTGGCCTTGAACCGTGCCAGGGCTGGAGCATTTACAACTTCCTTGGGCAACCCATTCCAGTGCCTCACCACCCTCACTGTGAAGAACTTCTTCCTTATATCTAACCTAAACTTCCCCTGTTTAAATTTAAAGCCATTACCCCTTGTCCTACCACTACAGTCCCTAATGAACAGTCCCTCCCCAGCATCCTTATAGGCCCCCTTCAGACACTGGAAGGCTGCTATGAGGTCTCCACGCAGCCTTCTCTTCTCCAGGCTGAACAGCCCCCACTTTCTCAGCCTGTCTTCATACGGGAGGTGCTCCAGCACTCTTATCATCCTCGTGGCCCTCCTCTGGACTTGCTCCAACAGCTCCATGTCCTTCTTATGTTGAGGACACCAGAACTGTACACAATACTCCAGGTGAGGTCTCACAAGAGAAGAGTTGAGGGGCAGGGTACACTCCTTTGACCTGCTGGTCACCTTGGGGCTGAGCTGCAATAGCTTTCCCAGGTTGTACCATAGCAGCATAGGTCAGTGAGGAAGACACTGACTGAGTCTGAAACAAAGGACAGTAAAGAAACAAGAGATGGGAAGCAGGGGAAAATCTTTAAGACACAGAGATTTATACCTGAAAAAGAAAAATTGTTCTGCCTTCTCACTAGAACGCACAGATGATACTAATCACAATCTTCAGTTAGAAATTTCAGTCAAACTTCATTTCCAAGGAAGAATGTGGGGATTTTCTTTAGAACATGTAGACCAGCCTTAATGGTAGCACATTACCCAGAAAGGTTCTGAATGCTGAGAATTACAGGAAGCAGCCAGAGGTTTAAACTGTCATACTGCCTCTGGAAAAGGTCAGCTAAGGAGAAGGATGTACTTTCCTATATAGAAAATTAATTTTATGTCCACCCAACATAGATTGTTTAGTCCATAAACTAGATTCCGTCTCGTACATCAGTAGATTAATTGTACATGAAAGTCCCTCATATAACCATTTTATTTAAAGGCAATTGCTTTTTTTTCATTCTGAAGGTACACCCAAAAATGCACAAATATCCTTGAAAAGGGAACAAGATGGCCAGGAAAAAAACAACCACCAAATAACAGGGGTTTTTTGTGTGTAACTTTCTGCTAATTTTTGTTCCCTGCCCTATTAGGCACAATAAGCTCAATTTGACATTCATCCCTCAGTCCACCTGCATCTGTAAGGCTGTCAATTAGAACAAGGACAAAGACAATTTTTTTCCTTTCTTTTTTTTTTTTTTAACCAAAGAAATTTGATCTGGGAATCATCCAGACACTGTTTGGAACTGCAACATACCAATTTTGCACAAGTCCCTAATTAGAGCAGAGCTGTCTTGGAAAGAAAAGCTCCCTTCTGGAGGTCTGCCTTGTGCAGTTCCAGGAAGATGTATGAGACATTTCCCACACCCCACTTAGTGTCTCTGCTGCTTTCCCTGGGGCAAGGTGAAAGTAGCTGAAATTGATTTTCTGCTGGAGAGCTTTTGCTTTTAGGAATTCTCTTTTGATTTTTCACGTCTTGTGATTCCTTGGGAAGGTGTATTTTATAATGAGGTACATTTTTTGGAGCCTACTGTGAAAAGGATGCTGGGATGGAGCCTTTTCTTAACCTGATTCCTTGTTAAAAATACCCAATCCTGAGAATATATTTACATTTTATTCCAATGGCATAAATAAAACATAGCACACAGGAATTGGTCTAATTATTTGTGGGCACTACTGTCATTTCCCCTGAAAGCCAGGCTGGCCATACTAGCATGGTAATGGTTTGACTTGATGATCTTAAAGGTCTTTCCCAATCTATTTCCAAGATAGAATTCTATGATTCTGTGTTGCTCAGAGATGAAATGGTAGTATGAAGAAGTACATCAAACCCAGTGCTAATCTAGCTAACTTGCTACTCAGCAATAACAGGGAAGAAATGGTGAAAGGGCTCCAGATACCTTCTTGGGCAGCTAGATCACGCCAGAATCAGATTGGGTCTTCTTCACTGGGACCTGAAGTGAACTAAACCAAGGAATATATCTAACCATGCTGCAGTGGCATCTTCCCAAAGCAGCATAGGCTAACATGGAGAGAGAAAATTGTCCAAACACAGGGTTTTAATTGTTCCTGTTGATTGAATGCAACTGGTGCCATAGATGGGACTATTCTGATTTGTCTTTTTTTGACTTTATATATTTGTTTCTTTACTGTTTTCAGTTATTCCCTTCCCATGCTCAAAGAAATGAAGACTTGAGTGCCACAGTGGAGCTGCCACAGGCACCCCTAAATCCAATACAGGCCTCAATATATCTTTTGTTTCAGATTGGAGAAATGCCTTCAAGATGTGGATGCAAGCAAAATGTTACAGAGGTCATTGTTTCCTTTCTCTGCTCAGACATCCTGTGCAGGGGAATTTCTGAACTGAAATGAGTCTGGGACTGAAGCCCCCCAGTACATAATGTCCTGTTAAATAGCTCAGGAGCAATAGCTGTGAGATGGATGAGAGACAATTTTTCATTATTTCTTCCTGTTCTTGCCTTCACGACACCTATTTCTTTTGGCCTAAGTATGCATCAGAAACCTTTTACTGTGCTGTTGTTCTGAACTGCCTGAAAGCTAAAAATCAAGATGATCTTCCAACATCTCCTCACACTGAGATGTGTGATAAAAACAAAGCTATCTATCTGTGGAATACCAAAATTAGGAATAAACCCAACCTGATGATCGTGGTCAGCCTTTCCAAACTGCATAAATTGACCTCATAGATCAACGACCTGAGATCAAAAACTAAATTATAGCATATTTCTAGGTTATGGG